CACACACACGCACATAGAGACTCACACACAGTGAATTTCAGTTTCGGGATAGATTTTACATACATGGAAAGTTTGAATGTATTATCATCGTCTTCAACTGCCAAACCCGGATTATCTTCTCAACAAATTCTCAAAAAATCGACATTCTTCAGGCCTATACAACAGACCCTAATGCCCCGTCAAACTCCCAATAGGAAAATCTCCATTCCCATTCTGAAGGCCCAGCAGGTAATTTTATGCCTCCTTTTATATTCATATACATAAAATTTTATCATACGGGCGTGTGTAATATTCGATGGGTCTTATTAAATTGGAAGTAATTGTGAGTTTAAATTGTATTGGGTTGCTTCTTTTGTGGGTTTTTAGTTAATTTAATCGATTAATTGTTGTTTCGCGTAAAGAATATTATAGTACTAAAGAAATTATTTGTTTATATGTAGCTGCAAAAAAAATTGGTGCAAATGCTTGAAAGCTATGAACTTTATGTTAAATATTAAGAGATTACAATACAATTTGATTGCCCTTTCTAGTCTGAATTGAAAGATGGATCAGCCACGGTATCGGAATCTAGAATTTCTGAAGGAGATGCACTCAAAGTTAAAGAGTGGGAAGTGGGGATGTTCCAAAATGAAGTAGCTGCAAGCCAAGGGATAAGGATTAGGAGACGGCCTCCAAGTGGACCTCCTCAGCATTATGTGGGTCCTTTCGAGTTTCGCTTGCAGAATGAGGGTAACACCCCGCGAAATATTCTCGAAGAAATTGTATGGCAGAAGGACGTGGAAGTATCAAAGGTACCGTTGAACTGGCTATAAATGCACAGTTTCTTTTCTGTCTTTTTCTTTCTTTCTTTCTTTCCCCCTTTTTTTATTTTTTTTATTTTTTTGTCTTTTTGGTGTGTGGGATGTGGGTATGACCTCTCGAGAATTGAAACAGGTATTAATGGTTAATAGATAGTGATTTGTAGATGAAGGAGAGAAAACCACTTTTTACATTGAAGAAAGCACTTGACAATGCTCCACCTGTTCGCGATTTTATTGGAGCTCTTAAGGCAGCGAATTCTCAAACTGGATTACCTGGTCTGATTGCTGAAGTGAAAAAGGCCTCTCCAAGTAGAGGAGTTCTTAGAGAAGATTTTGATCCCGTAAGTTTGCAATTTTAATTCGCATTAGCTGAAGTAAATATTGTCTCAAATGGTGGCATCACAATTGTGGGTGTTCTGTGCTCAACGATTCGATTTCTAAATTTTTTGACTCTGGTGATAGATGAAATCTCCAACTACGTTACTATTGAAATCGGCAAAATTATATGAAATGTCCTATTTTTCTTATTGACTAAGTAGAAGATAGAGGGCAAGGCCGTACTTATCAGCAATGTGTAGGGTATATCTGCATGTGTACATCAATAACTTAAAAGAAAGAACAGTTCTTTAGCGTTACGAACTTCCAGCAACAAATTCTCTCTTCTTTTTACTATGATACGTAACCAAAAAAAAAAAATGCTTGATAATTAATGTGCTAGATAGGCTTTGTCAAATAATGAACTTAAAAAAATGTATAAGGGAATCAGCTATTTATTGCATAATGGTTTTGGTCGGGGAGTAAGCATTGAATTATATGAATAAGCAGCATGGGGTCCTGGTTCTCCAACTTAAGCTAAGTTCAGAGTGCTAATTGCTGCCTTGTACAAGTAATATAGGGTGTGTTGGCTTCTAACTCAAGGGTTTAAGGATAGAGAGATGGGAGGAAAATGACAATTCATTGAGAAGTTAATTTAAATATTTATTTCCCTTAGTCCCTCTGTGATTCTTTGTAAAATTAAGAGAAATTTTATAGCGATGTTATTTTCCTTTCTTTCCCCCTTTTGATGCATGTTTGGACGTTTCATAACATGAACTGAATTTATGTAGCGGCATTTAATGATAATAATGAAGATTCTGCTTTCTGGAGGTGTTTTCTCCAAATACATAATATGTATTTTGCAGTTCTTTCCAAACCTCTGAAGACATCCAGGAGAAGCTGTTCACGCTCTTCAGTTTTCCTAGATATGTTTCTGTAGACCGTTGAGATTTCTACAAGTATATCATTCTTTTGAATATTTCACTCCACAGGTTGAGATTTCTAAAGGTTATGAAAAAGGTGGGGCAGCATGCCTAAGTGTATTGACTGATCAGAAGTATTTCCAGGTAAGAATCAACTTTTTAGTACTCGAACTTTTGCTTCTAGCAAATATTGCTATATCGATTAGGTATGTTTTTTTTCAAGGTTGGGTATAGTAAGACACAATTTGTGATGTGATCAGAATTATGTCGTTCACAATCGTTCATAAAATTGGACGCTTTATGTTGATAAGATTGTATTGTTCTTATTAAGATTTGTCTAGATCTTGAAATAGGAACAATAACGTGTTTCGATGCACATTGAACGGGACCGCGTAGATGACCGATTGAAATGAGACTCTACTTGATTATCAAACAGGTCACCTAAATCCTAAGTGAGTAATGTACCTTTGAATGCTAGTTCAAATTCTTTGAAGTATCAATGAGTGAAGTCTTAAATAGAAGATTGATCTCGGTGCTTTGGGAATCGGGCCGAAACCATTAGAGATCATATACCTACAATATTGGAATCCATTAATCATTGAGATGAGACGATCGTCACTCTAAGGTATTTTCCTAGGCAAATTGAATCTGAGCTCAGTAGGTCGACGATGAGATTGTTGGACTTTACATTATGATTTGATCACAACGAATTTGTCGTATGGAAATGGGACTTAGAGGGTAATACATGTTGAAGAGCAAAACGGTCATTTTGCCAGTTTCAACATATTGACGGTCAAATAGGGGTTGACTTGTGGAACGATAATCGGAGGATATTGTTATTGGATCATAATTTGCTTCTATAACTATCACTTGACTCGAGAGTGCAATCTCGATTTTTTGGTAGAATAAGCCGGGATTAATAGATGTATCTCAATTGGTCAAGAGTTGACCCAATTGAAAACATCTATTGGAGCTTGGGTCATGTGAGTTCGGTTAGGTCCCTCTCTTGGCTCCAATAAAAGGTGTGTGACTTAATTGGCTTACTACAATAAAGTCCAAGAAAATTTGTGCAATTTTCAAACTATAAATATACACTTTATTGGCATACATTGAATGAGAATTAGTGTTAGCCACTTTTCACTTTCTCCAAAAAGGAATAACACCTAGTGGAGAACAAGGGAGAATATCTAAGGGAGGAAGCAATTGGCTAGGCCATTAATTGCTCCTTCAAAAAGGTTATCATCTCCCATTTCTATGTGTGAGGATTTTACAATCCAATGATCTCAAGGTCACTAAAATCCTTATTTACATAATTTTAATCTTCAAAGGAAAATTAATTTTCTATTGTGATTATTAAAATTCATTAACCAACAAATGGTATTAGAGCCAAGATTATTGTATGCCTTGAGTAGGATTAAATTTTTTTTTTTTAAATCCTAGTGTAATATGCATTTTAGTTCGGTAGTGTTAGGTTATTTGATTTTGACATGTTTATGCTTTAAATATGTTTAAAGTTATTGTTGATACACTTATAATCACTTTTGGCCCTAGAATTTCTTTTTACTTCCTATTGTAATTCATTTATTATAGTTATTCTCTAGAAATATTGTAAGCCATAAGGCACTAAGTTTTTTGTATTTATTCTTCATTTTCATTCTTGTATTTTGAGGAAGAAATGTAAACTTGTTGCTGTAATTTCAATGAAGAGGAAGGAAAGACAAAATGCAAGAAATAAAACTAAGAAACACCAGTAGCCGGTCGGAGTAGCCATAGCTGCTGCTGTTGCAATGCCTCACAGGGCAGTAGCAAGGCAGCAGCAGGCCACCGGAGGGCCGGTTCTGACGACGACGACTTATTTTGGGGTCGTCGGAGTAGTGTGTGTTTTTTGTGGAAGTGTGTTTTCTTGCTAGGATTTGAAAATTAGGGTAATTTAGATTTTTTGGGCCTCTCTTTAATACTTGGGCCAATGTTGTTGGATAATGGCCTTGTTGGTTTTAAGTTTTGGGTCTAAAAATTAAATTAACCCTATTTTCATGTCACATGAGGTGGACTACAAAGAAGATTGAAAAATTGGGCCGGGATGTGACCCAATGTAATTCTTTTTATCCACATAATTTAAATTCTTAGGATGGGCCATTAGTGATTATTATTCATTTAATTATCGCTTTTACCGCTTTATGGATGGATGAATATTTAATTATTATCGCATGTTATGTAGATTAGATTAAACACCACTTGGTGCACTAAAATCATATGCATTTACATTTAAATATTTTTTTATCACTCTAAATTAATTAGAGGTGGCTGAAAAATATTTTATAATTAGCGTCATTATAATTATTTATATTTGGCGGACTAATTAAGTAAAAATTCAACGGCGCAAAATATTAAGTGGGAGAGGGTTTATAGGCATGTATAAACCTACGGTCTCCTCCGTCATCCAATTTGTTATTAAAATACGTATGTTTAGTATCGAATTATATCGGTCTCCCTATAGGAAAACTACGTTATTTTAGATTAACTGAAATTGGATCTAGTAATGGAATTTCTTTAAAAATGAAATAATGGGATGATCATCCTATAGACGATATCTTATATATTTCGGATATTTTAAAATTATTGACGGAGGTTCCTATAGAAGATTTCAACAAAATTATTCATAGGTCAAATAATAATCAATCCTCATTTTCTTGTGGCATGAGATGTCTAGCTCAATAAAATAAGTGGGAGGTCCCAACCTTGCCAACAACTACATTGACCTCCTATAGAGGGTGTGTTAAAAGTTGTAAGGGTTTTAAGATTTTTTTATTACAAATATAGTTTTGGGTCTATATTTGCATATTCATGTACATGTATCATACAAAGATTATTGCTCATTTTATTAATACGCGAATCGTTAAATTTACAGAAAATGTCGCTTAATCCATTATTAGTAATACTTAACAAAAATCAACTCGTGGGAGAAATCTACGTTGACTAGAAAATGAATCTTAATATTGTCCTTACCGCTGAAAAACACAAATTTGTGCTGGATGAAGTTTGTCCCGAAACCCCTAAAGATGACTCCACGGAATCTCAAAAGGCTGCATATGAAAAGTGCCATCATTCTGATGAGATGGCCCGTTGTTACATTTTGACATCCGTGTCAAATGTATTACAACAGTAATATCAGAATATGCAAACTGCATTTGACATAATGGAAAACCTTCAAGAGATGTTTGGACATCAAAGCCGACAAGCTAGGCAAGCCTCCATTAGGGCAATCATGAACACACACATGAAACCGGGTGCATCTGTAAGGGACCATATGTTAACCATGATTGGTCACTTCAATACTGTAGAGGTTTTAGGAGCTGACATTGATTTCGAGACGCAAATTGACATGGTCCTAGACTCTTCCTGTGATGTTCTCACAATTTATAGTTGATTATAATTTACACAAGATGGACATGTCTCCGACGGAATTAATGAAAGAGCTACAAAATGCTGAATCTGTTCTAAAAGTTAGGAGTGGAAGTGCTTTGACTGTTACAGCCGGACCCTCTTATCTTAAGCCTTCTGGTGGCAAAGGAGGAAAGAAGATGAAGAGGCCAAACAAAAAGCCAGATGGCAAGCCAAAGGGGAAGAAAACTATTGCCGATGGGAAATCAAAGAGAAAGTGTTTTATTTGTGAACAAAAGGGTCACTGGAAGAGGAACTGTCCAGATTACCTAGCTTAGGGGAAGCAAGGTAAAGGCAATAATGCCCTATTCATTGAGTCGTGCTTAGTGGTTGATTCTACTAATACTTGGATTGTAGATTCTGGAGCCACTAATCATGTTTGCAATTCTTTGCAGGGGTTCCAGGAAACCAAGCATCTCAGTGAAGGGGAGTACATTCTTAGGGTTGGCACAGGAGCAGTGGTATCTGTCAAAGTTGTTGGCACTTTTACTTTATGTTTTGAGAATTGTAGGCATTTGATATTAGATGACTGTTATTATGTTCCCGAACATATACGGAACTTGGTTTCCGTTGTACTTTTATATCATGTTGGTTATTCGGTACTTTTTACCCGTTCTACGATGGTTATTAAGTTGAATAAATCTGTTATATGTTTGGGTCAT